AAAACTCATGCCATAATAAACTTGATTCCACATAGGTATTTAGCAAAACACCTTCAAGACAAAAATTCATGTTATCACACAAATTTTGACCACATCATTCATAAGGCACAATGGCAACACATAACATGCCCAACAATATCCAGTTCCAAGAATTTTCACATGGAACCTCACATATCAATTTCAAACTAGCAATTGATTAAATCATTTCTACACCTACTCCATAATCATAGGAAAGTGAAATACATAGTTTCATATACCTACCCATTTCCATTAAACCAACTATAATACAAAAGTTTTAAAATACACAAAATAGACCACATAAACCCAATTTTCAAGAGTTTACACAAATAGCTTCCACATATCAAATTTAAGCTAGAAGTTGGTCTAAGCTATTTCTATACCCAATTCCTCACTTCCATAACAAGAGGAAAGTGACATGTGTGGTTCTATCTACCTAACCCATAACACATAACACCCTAGGTTAGAAAATAAGCCAAAGTAGGAGGAACCATACCTCTTGAAGTGTAAGATGAGTGTAGAAAGCCTCAAGAACACTTCCTAAGCCCAAAGTTCTTGATTTCTCCAAAATCTTTTCTTTGGATTTTCGGTGAAATCCTTCATTCTTGGTACATAGACGTATCCCTCGTTGTGGTGATCAACTTTAACTCTTAGTCCAAGTGATTCCGACCGACGGAACTCCGTGAATCGAAGGGAGAAAGGTAAAATTTTTTGTTTTTCTTCTTCTCCTTCCAACATTCAGACCAGCAGAGAACCCAGCAGAAAAATATCCCAAAAATCAGTTATTTGACTCCTATTTATACATTTTAATGCTTGGCCCAAATCGCGCCACACGCCCCCTTTTTCCTAGATATGTTTTTGCCCCGAAACAATTAAATTTTGTACTGGTTTAAACTTAAAATATTTTACATGAACTTTATTTAAATTATTTTTCAAATTTTAAAATTTTAATAAAAAATTCGTTTCTGGGGTCACCCGAGACCCAACCACCTCGTAAAACGCAAAAAATCCGACTATCTCAAAATTCGACGAAATTTGCATGAGTAATTAGATTTTGAGAGACGAATTCAAAGGTGAGGTCCGTTTCATCATTCGAGCTCTAGAGAAATATGAGTTTTCAACTCGCACTATAGTGACAAATTACTGTTTTGCACTTTTTCATAAAAAGTTCAAATTGACTTGGGTTTTATAACTCTTCTAGTCTCCAACTATGTTTTTCATTCCAATAATAATCTTTGTTCGGTTGAATGGTTTTTTTTTTTTTGGATAAATTAATTGAATGATGATATTTAATATGAACAAGATTTGCAAATCCTTTATTGAAGGTTACATGATTTATGGTGAACTGCCACAGGCGGAGCAATTATGATTTTAATGTATTTCATATGGTTTATACTTAAAATAATTGTTATTGTATTTGTGTAATAATTATACTGGATTGATGTTCACGTTTGCTTGTGTTTTATTATAATTGTTGTTGTAGTTGTTTTAGTTTTTAGTGTTATTAATGTTCATGCTATTTGTGGTGTTTGATGATAAAGGTTGATGCATTCTGGCTTTGGTAGTGTTTGATTTTTTTGCAATTTTGGAAGAATGAGGGTAGTTGTACTGAAATCTTGGGACTGGTTGCTGTTAGGCTGAATGGTTTTGGCTGCAAGTTTTTTGAGATTTTGCTTGAAAATGGCGCATGTGCCTTAGTTTTGTTTGTTTGTTTTTTGTGAGGTTTTGTGCCTTGATTGTTTCTTCTAATTTATTTGTTTTATAAATAAATAAAATTTGCTTACTGTTTTCTAAAAAAAAAAAATAGTTACAAAAGTATTTACCCGACTTCCTACCCGATTAATCGGGTAAGAAGTCGGGTAAGAATACCACACCTGATTTGGTAGGGTAGGCCAAGAAACATTTTTTCCACAAAGTATCGGGTAGGAAAATGGAAGAGTATATTTCCTACCCCATAGGGTAGGGTGAACAACCCTACTCTAAATAACTATTTAACATATATATTATCTAATAATTACTTAATAAGCTAATAATTCTATTAAACTTGATATTCCATTAAAACATCAAGTCATGCTAATGTACAACTAATATGCTTTAAACCGCTAACATTAACTTATATCAAGTTAATCATAATAGGATTTCACTAATTAAAAGATTCACTAGTTACACTAGTCAAGAGCTAAATTGTAATACACACTCCTAGCCTACCCATTTCATATGCCATCTTTTAGGTTGAAATTACATCTAAATACGGGAAACCCTACCCCTTGTATAGCATGAGCCCAGTAGTAGAACTCAAAAGAAAACCTAAATTTAGCTTCCGCAACCCTTGAATTAATTCTAGACTAAAACTCCGATTCTCGAAAGATACTGTAATTTGACAGGTTTGGTATCCACGTGTAGCCCTCGCCATTGTGAACAAGTTTAATACTTGATTTGAGTTTAGTGGTCGTTTATATTTTTCTAGATCTAATGAAGAAGGTGGAAGTTTTTCTTTTCTTTATTTCTTCCTTCTCTTTTTTTTTTCTTCTCTTTGTCTCCTTTTTTTCCTCTTTTTTCTTGGCTAAAAGTTGGAGTCCAAAATAAGTGGAAGACAAAAGTCTTCCACTTTATATAGTTTTATATGTTTGGCCCATGTTGCGCCACACGTCTACTTTTTAACGGGTCTAATTTTATTTTGAATTAATTAAATTTCACTTTGTGTTAAGTTTTGTATATTTTTATGCATCTCAATTTAAATTATTTTTTAGGTCCCACGAATAAAATCTAATTGTAATAATTTTTGTACGACACTCGATCGTTTCGTAGTACATGAAAAATCTAAATATATCATAATTTAGTGAAAATTGATTGGATAATAATATTTCACGAACAAATATAATGGTGAGGTTCATTTTGTCATCTGAATTATACAAAAAATCACGTTCTTGACTCGTGCTTTAATAGCTAATTATCGTTTTTCGCCTTTAATTAAGATTTTATTTTTATTTTTTTGGGTTTTACAAATCGAATTAAATTTATTGCTAACCTGGATGTTGATTTGAAGAAGTTAATGATAACTAGTTAAATTTGAATATTAATTTGATGAATTTGACTGACAATTTTCTATTAATTTGACAAATTGAATTCTAATTGGATTAATTTGTGTGTTAATTTGATGTCAATTTGATGAATTAAATATTAATTTGATGAAACTGCATGTTAATTTGGTGTTAATTTGACAAATTGAATGTTTATTAGATAATTTAAGAGTGTAATTTTATGAATCGAGTGTTAATGGTATTAACTTGAATATAAATTGGATGAATTAAATGTTAATTTAATTTTAATTTGATGAATTAAATATTAATTGTGTGAATTTAGATGTTAATTTGATGTTAGTCTAATAAATTTGAATGTTAATTTAATAAATTGAATGCTAATTAAATAAAATTGATTATTAATGATTGTGGGCTCAATATGTCCTACTAACATTAGTGATTGCATATATATTGGGTGATTTTAGATGTTAATTTGATGAATTGAATGTTAGTTCGACGAATTTGGATAAAAATTGGATGAATTGAATGTTAATTTGAAGAATTGAATATTAATTGGATGAAACTGAATGTTTATTTAATAAATTTAATATTCACCATTGAATTTGAATTTGAATTTGATTAATTGAATGATAAATTTGTGTTAATTTGATGAATTAAATATTAATCGAATGTTAATTTCTTGTTAATGTGATAAATTAAATATTAATTAGATAAAATTGATTATTAATTGGACAAATTTAATACTAATTAGATGAATTTGGACCAAAACCTCATTTACCACCAAAACCTCTTGATTTACAACCTGTTAATCAACCACAAGCACAACCTACCTATGCTTCTCTCTTCAAGAAATCATCTAAACCTATTTTTGTTGAGGAGCCTTTACCCATGATTGAAAAACCTATTGTGTTTTATGAGGGGGAGCCTGTTTTTCACTTCACAAATGAAGAGGTTAAACAATCATGTTTATCTCTTTAATATGCGTTAATACGCAAGTGTACCTATGGAAAACCTAGTCTGGGTGTGATTCGAGAAGTGATAAGGTCCAAATGGGGATTAAAAGGTGAATTTGAGTTGGGTTTAATAGACCCAAGGCATGTGTTAATACGTTTTGAAAAGCAAGAAGATTATGTGAAGACATGGTTGAAGGATGCTACAATGATTGAAGACTATTTGTTTAGATTCTTAAAATGGTTTCCAGCGTTTGTACTAGGGAATGAGCCTTCAATTGTGCCTATGTGGATATCATTACCTGGTTTGCCACTGAATGTTTTCAAAGAAGTTGTTTTTGGAGTTGCCCATAGGTAAAGTTTTAGTGTATGATCCTGTTACACTCTCCTTAGCCTAGGTTGGGGTAGCAAGAGTATGTGTGGAGGTTAACCTGCTCGCCAATAATCCTAATAGAATTCAGATTAACATGGTAGTTGAAGACACAAGATGGTAACGAATAGTCTATGAAAGAAACAAAAATATCTGTAAAAATTAAAGGAAGTAGGGACATGATGAGCTTGAATGCAGGAAGAAGAAGCAAAGGGAGAAGACGATAGCCCCATAAGGAAAGGATTCAGTCCCAGATTTAGCGGTGAGGAAAGAGAAGCTAAGAATAAGAGAAAAGGAAAGCAGATGCTAATAGCAGAGAATGAAGGATTGCAGAATCCTCTGATGGACTATGGATTTAAGTAAACTCAGGGTCATGGGAAAATACAGCCATAATCAAAGCAAGTAAATCTGCCTAATCAACCGAGAGGTGTCTGGAGGCAGCAACAGAGGCCGAAGCAAGATAAAAATCCCAGCAAGGAAACAATAGCTGAGTTTGGAAAAGTTACAGAGCAAGTTTTGGAAAAAGGCAATTTGGAAAAGGAAAACTCGATTATGATCCTACAAAGATGGAGTAATTTGGGTAAGGATAATTTAAATGAGGATTCAATTATGATACTGTAAATGGGGAGTCATTCAGGTAAAGATAATGGAAAGGAGAATCTCGACAAGGAAAGTGTTCCTACCAAAGATCTTGAAAATCCATCGTTTCCAAATTTGAACATGGTTATGGTGAATGAAGATCATCCCGTACGGAATGACTATGAATTACCAAAGTCTTTTATAGGTGATCAGGGTCAGCAGAATGAGGAGGGTATGGCTAAGGAGAGGTTGATTTCTGCTCGTGAAGGTGACTGTAGCACTCAAGATCTTGCAGATGGTGGAGTTTTAATTGAAGTTCCTATGGTTCTTTCTTTGGTTGAGCCGAGGCTGGATTCATGATTGGGAAATGGTTTCCAAGTTAGCAAGGAATTATGTTAGACGAATATGCAATGTGTCACTTTTTCAGATTCATCTTTTCTGCTGGAGCACAATTATTCTTGTAGAAATGATCCCAAAGGTGTTATGGATGATGACCGAGGATTAATATGCTGCAAGAGTCCACCTTTCAAGGGTTATCATTCTGACTTTGAACTATCCCCATGCACTCAATGCTATGAAGTTAATTCTCCAGGCTCTGAGTTAACAGAAGCACAAGTATCAGTCTTACCCAGGCAGGTATCTATATACTCAGGTGTTGTTACTAGATCAAAGTCTAGTAGAATCCCACCTTCATCTTAGTTTAATGATTAATCTAATTAGTTGGAATGTGAGGGGAGCTAATAAAGAATCCTCTAGAAGAAGACTAAAGAAACTAATTAAGCTACATGATGTTAGCTTGGTGTTTATTTTGGAGCCTAAATTAAATCCATCCAAGTTGTAGATGTTATGTAACAGTTTGGGGTTTTCTTCATTTCTTGCTAATCCACTCGCGGAAAAGCACATCTGCATACTCTAGGATTATAGAATGCAGGTGCAAGTTGTTGTTGTTCATGAACAAGTCTTAGCTGTGGAAGTTACTTATATGGGGTCAGATAAATTTCACATCTCTTTTGTTTATGCAAAGTGTGATCACATACTCAGAAGGCCTCTGTGGTCACATTTGCTCAACCTCAATTTATATTCTGATCCTTGGATGATTGTCAGGGATTTTAACATCATTGTATTCTCTTCTGAAAGGAAAGGAGGCTCGCCTCCTCGTTTCTCCATCATGTCAGAATTTATTGGCTTTATTAATTCTTTGGGTCTGTTGGAATGTGGATTTACAGGCTCTCCCTTTACATGGTGTAATAACCACCATGATATCTCATATGTGGCAGAGATTGGACAGGGCTCTTGTTAACGTTGATTGGGAAGACAAATTTCAAAGTACAGAGGTGGTGCATGCTGCAAGAGGAGGATCTAATCATTCACCTCTGATCATTAAAATTTCAGATTACGCTGCTACTAGAAGGATTAGTTATTTTAAGTTTTTGGACATGTAGGTTGAGTATGCTGGTTTTCTGCCCTTAGTACAATTCAATTGGACTGGTTCTTTCTCTTCAAATCCTATTGAGAATGTCTTCCAGAAACTCAAGCATTTAAAAGGGGAATTGAATAAATGGAATGTTAACACCTTTGGAAATATCTTTGAAAATGTCAAGAGGCACGAGGCGCTCCTTTTGCAAGCTGAATAGGAGGTTGAGATGAATGCATCTAAAGCTAACCATCAGAATTTGACTAAAGCAAGGAAAAACTTGGAAGACTATCTTAGAATGGAGGAGAATTTTTGGAAGCAAAAAGCAAATATCAAGTGGTCTATGGAGGGGGAAAGGAACATGAAGCTTTATCATGCCATTACAAAGGGGAAAGCAATCAGAAATAGAATTTCAAGAATTAAAAATTCAGTTGATGTTTGGGTCGAGGGAGAGGAGGAGATTGCTAAATGTGCTGTTTCTCATTTCTCTGCGTTTTATGAGTCTGAGCCACATTCTTTGGAAGATGATTTATTTTCTTCTATCCCTGCTTTAGTTATAGAGGAAGATAATGCTATGCTCACCTCACCAGCAACAATGGAGGAACTCAAGCAAGTTATTTTCTCTATGTCTGTGCACAGTGCACCGGGTCCTGATGGGTTTTCAGGCAAGTTTTTCCAATCTTCTTGGGATATAAATAAATTTGATTTGCTTGCTACTTTGAATTTTTTCCTGCAAGGGGATGCGATCCCAAGATCAGTAAATTCTACTTTGCTCACTCTCTTCCCCAGGAAAGACCATCCAGTGTCTTCCTCAGTGTTCAAACCAATTAGCCTATGCAATTTTTTATATAAAACACTCACAAAGATATTGTCTAGTAGACTAAGTAATATTCTTCCCAAGCTTATCTCCAAGTAGCAGCATGGCTTTGTCTTGGGGAGGAGCATTGGGGATAGTATTTCAATAGCTTAGTTTATGGTTAATGAGATGGATAGGAAGGTAGAGGCGGGGAACGTTATAGTAAAACTTGACATGATGAAGGCCTTCGATCAAATGGAATGGGATTTCTTAAAGGAGGTTCTCAACAGATTTGGTTTTTCTCAAGGTTTTGTGAACATAGTTTCAAACTGTTTTCGAAACCAGCACATCTCTGTGGTTCTTAATGGTGTTCATCATGGTTTGTTCTACACCTCTAGAGGGTTAAGACAAGGTGATCCTTTGTCTCCCTCTCTCTTCATTCTTAAAGAGGAAGTCTTAAGTAGAGGATTGTGGGCTCAATTTCAAAATTATCTTATTAAGGGTTTTCACATAGGGAGGGGCTCCCAACTTCTTTCTCACTTATTATTTGCTGATGACACTCTTATTTTCCTTTAAGGGAGTAACATTTCTATGTAGAACCTCTTAAAGTTTGTGGCAAGATATGAAGCATCTTCTGGGCAAAAAGTAAACAAAGGCAAGAGTTCTCTTTATTGCTCTTCTAAAATCACTGCTCCTAGGAGACATAAGTTGTCTCGAGTTGTGAATATTCCCTTAAGGGCTTGTCCCCTTTTCTATTTGGGGTGTCTTATCATTAAAGGGAGGGTGAAGCTGAGATATTTTCAGGAGTTGGTGGGGAAGTTTCAAGATAGATTGGAAGGATGGTACTCAAAGTTTCTATCGAACATGGGTAGAATTGTACTCATTCAATCTGTTCTGACCTCGATACCAGTCCATTTGTTAGCTTCTCTAAATTTGCCAAAAGGAATCATAGCCAGGCTAAACTCAATTATGGCTTCTTTTCTTTGGTTGGCAAAATCAAGTGTTAAGAAACATCATTGGTGTTCTTGGGATAGGATAACTAAGCCAAAAGAAGAAGGGGGTCTGGGTATTAGAAAGTTTGAGGATGTACAAAAGTCTTTCAGAATGAAGCAGGTTTGGCAATTGTTACAAGGTACCTCTTTATGGTCTTCTCTTTTTGCTGCCAAATATCTTAAGTAGCAGCATCTTCTAAGGAATCAAGGACGTAGTCACTCTAGAGCACTTACATCTCTAGCACCTTTTTTTGAAATCATTACTTCTAACTCTCATAAACTAGTTGGAAATGGAAATTCTATTGACTTCTAGTGTGACAACTGGACTGGCTTGGGGCCTTTGATTTTGAGGAACTCTGTCACTCCATTATTTTATCCTAAACTTTTTGAATTATTCGTTAATGGTTCCTGGTTTCTTCATGGTGTTAGACAACACTTGGATGCTCAGCTTACTCAAGAGGTTTATGACACTTAGATAGTTTTCTCTACTGATGATGATGTGTTAATCTGGAAGCACACTACTCTTGGTAATTTTAGTATTAAATCTGCCTAGGATCTTGTCAGGTAGTATGACCAAGTAAATCCCCAGGCTGCATTTATTTGGAAACAAGATGCCCCCCTCCAAGTGCTCAGTTGATGTGCTGGAAACTAATGAGGGGAATTCTTCCCATGGACTCAACTTTCCAAAAAGGTGGAGTCTCAATGGTCAATAGGTGTGTTATGTGCTGCAATGCATCAGAAACTCCCACTCATCTTTTCATTGATTGTAGATATGTTAGTTCCTTATGGAATAAAATTTCAGCGATTTTGAGCTTTCAACTTGTTGTTCATGAGGAGCCTATGACAAGACTGATGAGGCTAGCTAGAATATATAAGAAGGACTACCTAAGTCATGCTTTGCTAAGAAGCATCTCCTTGCTGGTTTACTGGATTATATGGAAAGAAAGATGTAGAAGATTGTTTGAAGATCAGAGGCAACCTCACTTTTTTCTCTTTATGATTGCTATGCATATTGGAGACTGCAAGCGTATTGTATCAGACCTAAGGTTTTGGATTCTCCAACAGAGAAGGAGATGCTTGCTGCTCTTAATGTTTACTCTTATTTCTAGATTTCTATTCAAGTTAAATGGATAAGCTGGTCTTTGCGTCCTGAGGGATTGATTAAATTGAACATTAATGGTTCCTCGAAGGGGAATCCAGGATTGTCTGGAGGAGGAGCTGTCCTATGGAATCACCGAGGTCAGTTTATTCTTGCTGGTTCATACTTTTATGGAGTTTGTACGAATATGGAGGTTGAACTAAGGGCACTATGGGATGGTTTACGATTGGTGTTGCAATTTGGGTTAGAGATATATCCTCTTGTTATTGAATCGGATTCTCAGATTGTTGTGGACCAGGTAAACTCTGGTATTTTTAATGGGTGGAAGTTCAGGTCTCTTTCTCACTTAATTTTCTCTCTTCTCTAAAAGTTCAAATACAAGTTAGTCCACACATACAGGGAAGGTAATGTAATAGCTTACTCTTTGGCTAATATTGGAGGGCAAGGTGTTTCTTCGACTTATTCTTCTTTAGAAAATCTCCCCTTTTCTGCTAGATTTTTTTTATTGCTTGATGCTCAACAACTCAAGACTCCCAAGAAAAAAACCTATGTCACTAGATGGCAAGAAAGTTTATACTTTCCCCCCAACTTGTTACCATTTTTTAATTGGGTTTATTGGTTTTCAGCATATAACAGTCTCAATAGAATTCATAAAAGTTTAAATCAAATACCACAGTTCGATTATATAGTCCCAAATTTATTACATGTCCATCCTTATTTTAACATGAGGGATACTCTCTACAGAAGAAAAGAAATTCAAGTTGAGAAGAATTTAGCAAAAACCTATTTCTTCGGATCTTAGCTTTGCCTGCCTTGCTTAGGCTCTGTCTGCTTTCAATCCTTAAAATCTTCAGGCTCTTCATCTTCACAAGGCTGGATATTCATGTTCTTCATGGAGGCTCTTCGTCTCTATAGGAAAAGGGTGTCATTTATCTCTCTAAAGGTTGCTTTTCATGTCCAGACTCTAATGCAAAGGAGGGTTCCAATTCAGAAGCAAAGAAACACAAACGATGAAAAATATGGCAGAAGACTAGGAATATCAGGCTCCTACCTCAATGGCTGTTCAATTGCATCTTCAATTGAATTTTTGCACCAATGTTTTCTGCAATTTCTTTTGTTCAGAGCATTTTCTGCAGCAGCTTGCTGAAGGTAACAAGGAGCTCTGGAGGATTAGGTTTGCGTGTTTTCTCTATCGTGCTCTCTCTTTCTATAGGTTCAAGGGCTCTTCTAGTGCTTGTTGGACGTTAGTCATGGCTCTACTGCAAATTTGGGTCTAGTTTTTAACTATTGCTTTCATCTCTGTATCATAGATAAACTATGAAGCACGGATATTTGGTTGAGATTGACGTACCAGTATCGCATATCGTATCGGATATAATACTCGTTGGATACTCGAAGATATGTATTGGATACACCTTCTACGTATCCGATAATAATTAAACATTAAGATATTTCACGGATACTTTTGTAGTCGAGCAACGTGTNTTAGAGATATATCCTCTTGTTATTGAATCGGATTCTCAGATTGTTGTGGACCAGGTAAACTCTGGTATTTTTAATGGGTGGAAGTTCAGGTCTCTTTCTCACTTAATTTTCTCTCTTCTCTAAAAGTTCAAATACAAGTTAGTCCACACATACAGGGAAGGTAATGTAATAGCTTACTCTTTGGCTAATATTGGAGGGCAAGGTGTTTCTTCGACTTATTCTTCTTTAGAAAATCTCCCCTTTTCTGCTAGATTTTTTTTATTGCTTGATGCTCAACAACTCAAGACTCCCAAGAAAAAAACCTATGTCACTAGATGGCAAGAAAGTTTATACTTTCCCCCCAACTTGTTACCATTTTTTAATTGGGTTTATTGGTTTTCAGCATATAACAGTCTCAATAGAATTCATAAAAGTTTAAATCAAATACCACAGTTCGATTATATAGTCCCAAATTTATTACATGTCCATCCTTATTTTAACATGAGGGATACTCTCTACAGAAGAAAAGAAATTCAAGTTGAGAAGAATTTAGCAAAAACCTATTTCTTCGGATCTTAGCTTTGCCTGCCTTGCTTAGGCTCTGTCTGCTTTCAATCCTTAAAATCTTCAGGCTCTTCATCTTCACAAGGCTGGATATTCATGTTCTTCATGGAGGCTCTTCGTCTCTATAGGAAAAGGGTGTCATTTATCTCTCTAAAGGTTGCTTTTCATGTCCAGACTCTAATGCAAAGGAGGGTTCCAATTCAGAAGCAAAGAAACACAAACGATGAAAAATATGGCAGAAGACTAGGAATATCAGGCTCCTACCTCAATGGCTGTTCAATTGCATCTTCAATTGAATTTTTGCACCAATGTTTTCTGCAATTTCTTTTGTTCAGAGCATTTTCTGCAGCAGCTTGCTGAAGGTAACAAGGAGCTCTGGAGGATTAGGTTTGCGTGTTTTCTCTATCGTGCTCTCTCTTTCTATAGGTTCAAGGGCTCTTCTAGTGCTTGTTGGACGTTAGTCATGGCTCTACTGCAAATTTGGGTCTAGTTTTTAACTATTGCTTTCATCTCTGTATCATAGATAAACTATGAAGCACGGATATTTGGTTGAGATTGACGTACCAGTATCGCATATCGTATCGGATATAATACTCGTTGGATACTCGAAGATATGTATTGGATACACCTTCTACGTATCCGATAATAATTAAACATTAAGATATTTCACGGATACTTTTGTAGTCGAGCAACGTGTATAATTTTTTAGTTGAACTTTTAACATCTCTTTTCGAATTCACATACCATACAATACATTAAGAAAAAATTCATATTACTTCAAAGGCATATGAGTGTTTTTTAAGTATTATGTACAATTACATGTCAAAAAACACATAAAATAAAGTTATTACATTATTATCTTAGAAAAAATTACTTCTAAATACTAAGTAAATATTATCTTTGATTTCTTTAGTTAATCACTTCACTTTGTGAATATACCACAACGATACGATATATATTTTCTTGAAATTAAAAAGAATTATTAATTTTTCTTATTATATGTTAAAGAAATACTAAAATATATAAGTATTAAGTTAGTTGAAAATAATAAAAATATTTTTATTATAGTCATATCTTGATCGTACCTGTTTCCTATTTTTTAAAATTTTATAGTATCGTCATATCTGTATCGTATCGTACTCGTATCCCGTATCTGTATCCGTACTTCATAGCAAGGAAGGAGTGATTTCTTCAGTTTGCTCTCAAACGTCTCTCTGAAGAGCACTTTAGACATTGAGATGGCTTTACAAGTTTCGAGGTTAACTGTTGCTATGCAGTGACTTTCCACCTTCCTTGCAGCCGCCTTATCCATAACGCATCTGGCTTATCATACGTCTTTCCATTTCCTTATGTTGCTGCTGCTTCCCTTAGCTGCTTCTCTCAGCTCCTCTTAGGGATGCTTTTAGCTCACTTCAACTGTTTCATTATTTCTTTAGGCAATGTGCTTGATTTTATTTTATTTTTTCAATTCCTTGTATCAAGCATGCATTTTTGCCTTTTTTATTTTAATATTCTCTATGTAATTAGATTACATCGAGGGGTAAGATACATATGTCCCCCTTGACTAGGCTTAATTTAATGTTAATTGGATGAATTGAATGTGTAATTTGATGAATTTTAATGTTAGTTGGATGAATTAAAAGTTAATTTGGTATTAATTTGATGAATTGAATTTTAATTTGATGAAAAATATCATCGTTTTGAGATGCTATTACAACGATTTGTGTGAACTTACCACTATTCAGAAAATTTTGCTATCATTTGGGGTAATGTTACCATTGTTAGGGACAATATTACAACTTTTAGGGTAATATCACGATGATTTTGAGTGATGTTATTAATATTTAGAGTGAATTTATCACCATTTAAGGTAAGAATACCATAGTTGACTTACATTTTTACCATTAAGTTTGTAATATTACCCACATATATCGTAACTTTAATCAATATAGTAATAAGTTTGGCCTACACTCTTGTAATTTTGTCCACTATTGTTGTAACTTAATCTAAAACTGTAGCAAATGTGGCCTTAATGTAACGCCCCAAAACACACCCTGAACGACATTACATTCTAAAATCATTCATATCATAAGAGTACTAATATAATCCCTTAAGAAACAAGATTTCATTTGTCATCCACGAATATTTACAACATTATCCAAAAGAATAAGCCAAAGTCATGGCTATTACATCTTAAAAATTAATTAAAGAAGCGCAGTGGAATAAACAAAAGAAGCTAGACTACACAATGTTCCAAAAGAATGTCCNCTATTACATCTCAAAAATTAATTAAAGAAGCGCAGCGGAATAAACAAAAGAAGCTAGACTACACAATGTTCCAAAAGAATGTCCTAGTCTAGTACAAAAGGAAAGGAGGTCGCTCTATGCATCTACCTCGGGATCCACACTCCCGTCCGGTGGAGTCTCCTAAGTAGCGGTCTCCTCGACCCTTACATCCTCCTCCTCAAGCGGGTAATCTGAAAAATGTTAGCGATAAGGGGTGAGCACGAAGCTCTATAGAAAAATTCTCCCAAGCCCATAAAAGGTTTAGAAAGCATTTAAAACAATCGGTCTCAATTTTAACATAACATAGATACATAATTTGAAATAAAGCAGTGACATTTAAAAAAGATCTCAAGTTTATTTAAAAATATTACTTAAATGAATAAACGAGCACCACATACAAATAATAACCATTAATTGTCATAACCAATTCCCAACAATTCTTTCGGTAGGTGGCATAATTTGTGGTAACCTCCACCCCCTTTAGGTCACTTTTGATTCGCAAGCATCCTTACCGAGAACCTCTTGAAAATGGATGAGCATCCTTACATGGAACCTCTCACCAATCACTACATTATTTCCCAAGCATCCTTACCGGGAACCTCTTGGGAAGGGGTGAGCATCCTTACAAGGAACCTCTCACTCATGTGCATCACAAACAACCCAACCAAGCATACAATTCTAACATTTATCTCAATTTACAAGCATCTATCCAAAATCCCCAAAATATATCATATAACAATTCCACAACCAACTAAGAAAATACATGATATCACAATAACATCATTTTTCTACCCAACACAAAGCACTAAGGTTTCGAAATCCATAATAAAGAAAGCATTTAGGAAGAAAATACATCACTCTCCAAAAATTAGGGTTTTAAAACTAGAAAGGAGATTTCATGGATATTAAACCCTACTTTGTTCAAAACATGTAATCCTTGCAAAAGGCCTAAGAGATGATGATTCTATAGCATATATATACTATTGATAGCCAAAATATACACATATAAATATCATAGCCTCAACGTAAGTGAATGAGAAAAAACCCCTACCTTGAATCCTTAGCTTTGGTGTGAAGAACAAGAATATTTGATCTTGAATCACCCTTGAATCTCTTGTTTTTCCCTTCCTTTCTTCTTCTCTAATGCTCTCTAGGATTTCAAGAGGTGTGGGGGTGTGAGGGGAGTGAATGAAATGAGACCAAATGAGATGAAAATGAGTTTAAAAAATAGCAGCCCCGAAAAAAACTGTTCATAGGCTGCGTTGGGTTTCTCCAAATTTACGGTTTTACCACTAAGAATCTCCAATTTGATTCATATGACTACCCTAAGGTTTGTCGACATTTTGGATTCATTTTTAATGTTATTTTAACCTAAAAATATTTATTTTTATGATTTATCTCAAAACCCAAGTCAACGTACACCCGAAACACTAAAGTTTCTATTTTACCCATCCGAATCGGCTATTAATGAAGTTTTGCAATGTTTGCAAATAAAGGGTGTTTCTTAAAGTCTTTTATACTTATTTGAAGCCTAAAAGTCATTAGTCTTATATTTTGATTTAGGATTGAAATTGAGACATTAAATGCAAAACGAAGCTAATTGGACTATTTCGACATCGTTTCGTTATCTGAGCATAACTCTCTCATCTAAGCTCCGATTGAGATGATTCAAAATGCTATGGAATGATACGAAAGAGCTCTAAACTTTCATGTTTTGAGTTTTAAGAGATATTGTAACACTCTGCATTTTACTTTATATATATGCATATAGATATATATTAAATAATTGTTGTAAAAATAAGGATAGGTGTAGCGATGTGTGTCTGAATTGGTACATTAGAAATGGAAAAAGGGATGAAA